CCGACGGCGACGCGCACGAAGGCGAGCGCGGACCGCCGCGGCCGCGGCCGCGCCGCGGCGCCCGGCGGCGTCGACGGCGGCTCGCGGTGCTCGCCGTCCGTCGCGTCGCCGTCGGACTCGGACTCGTGGGCGTCGGACTCGTCGTCGAGCGCCAGCGCGTCGCCGTCGGACTCGTGGTCCTCGTCCTCGAGCGCCGCGCGGTGCGCGGCGTCCTGCTGCGACCGCGCGCGGCCCTCGACGAGCCCCGCGATGAGGTCCTTCGCGCAGTCGCCGGGCAGGCGGCAGGCGTCGAGATCCAGCTCCTCGAGGCGCCCGGGGTTCGCCGCGAGGAGCTTCAGCGCCGCGCCCAGCGCCGCGAGCGCGCCGATGGCGCACGGCGGGCCGAACGACGACCCGCGCAGGTTCAGACCCCGCAAGGACGCGCCCGGCGCGCAGTCCGCGACGAGCCCCCGCAGCAGGCGCGCCGCGGCCCGGGGCCCGAGGCCGTTGTTCGCCAGGGACAGGTAGCGCAGGCGCCCGCGGAAGAGGCAGCCGCGCCGCGGCGGCTCCGGCGGCGCGACCTCCGTCGGCGTCGCGACGCGCGCCGCCTCCTCCCTAACCAACTGGTCGAGGCTCGCCTTGGCGAAGGCGCCCAGCGCGTTGCCCGACAGGTCCAGCGCCGTCACCGACGCGTCGTCGCGGTCCAAAGCTCTCAAAAACGTCGCCGCGGCCGCGTCGCCGAGCTTGTTGCCCGAGAGGTCGAGGTACGCGAGGCTCCGGAGCCGCGCGGGCCCCGGGCTCGACGACGTCCAGGGCGACGCGACGCAGGTCGACACGTAGAGCCCCAGCGACGCGAAGTCGTCGGGCCCGAGGTGGTCGTGGTTCCGCACGGCCAGGAACCCTAACGCGGGCCCGCCGGACACGCCGACGGACGCGTCGTCGCGGTCCCAGTCCTTGGCCGCCATGCGCCGCCGCTCCTCCGCCGTCCGCAGGAGGATGCCCAAGATCTGCAGGCCGTCTCTCCCCAACGCGCGGTCCAGCGTGACGGCCTCGACGGACGCGGGCAAACTCCCGACGAGGTACGCGAGACCCGTCGTCGCCGGCGCGCCCGCGGCGCCGCCGAACAGCGACGCGGGCCCCTCGTCGTCGCCCGCGGCGTCCGGCGACGCCGTGGACGAGAAGCAGATGCTTTGGACCCGCGGCTGGCGCGCCAGGAAACCGCCGAGCGACTCGGAGAACTCGCCCGCGAACCGCGAGTCGCGGAACAAAACGCCGTACGAGCCCCGGCCCGCGGAGCACGCGTCGTGGTCCATGAGCTTCGAGATGACCCGCGCCTCGCGCCGGAAGGAGAAGTAGCGCCGCGCGGGCAGCACCAGGGTCTTGGGCCAGGCGCAGGGCCCCACGGCCCAGGGGAAGGGGCCCCGGGGCGGCCGGTGCAACGGCGCGACGCGGCGCCGCTGTAGCTGCGAGGGAAAGTGCTTCGCGAGGTGGCGCGCGAGCTCCGGCGGCGGCTCGCCGCGGTTCGCCGCGCGGAAGGCCGGCGTGCGCCGCGCCGGGTCCACGTAGGACGCCTGGCGCGCGACGAGCTGCGTCGACCGGCGGGGGGAACTCGACGACCCGTCGGGCGTGCCGCCCTCGGCGTCGTCGGCCTCCTCGGGCGCGGGCTCCGCCGCGGCCGTGAGCGGCGGCCAGGCGCGCCGCTCCGAGCTCCACCAGCGCGGGAGCCGCGCGGCGGCGTCCTCGACGCCGTCGTCGTCGTCGCGCGCGGACTTGTGCGGCGTCGTCGGCGTGGACGCGGACCGCGACGCGGACCGCGCGACGGGCCGCGTCGGCGCGAGGGGAGACGCGACGACGAGCACGTCCGTCTGCCAGTCGTCGTCGGCCGCGACGATGGCGTCGTCGTCGGCGGACGCGCAGCGGAGGAAGAGGCCGCCCGCCTTCAGCTGATTCAGCGCCGCGAGGTGCGGGTTCAGGAGCACCTCCTTGACCTTGCCCTTCAACAAGTCCAGCGGCGTGCCCGGCGACAGGGCCCGCGCGCGGAACGCGGCGACGATGTCCGTCGTGTCCTCGCCCTCCTCGGACCGCCGCGCG